AACCAAAATTATATGAATTGCTGAAGGGGGTTCTTTCAGAAAAGAAAGTAAATAAAGATAAAAATTATGAACAACAAATATGTAACTCTCAACAAGTGAATCTAAAAACCAAGGAAATTAAAAAAAAAATCTGATGAACAATATTAACTGTTGAATATAATAGAATTAGAGGTATGGAAGGGGAGTGAACTGACGATTCTTGGGGAAAAGGGGAGAGGGGGATGTGGGAAGAGACTGAACATAAACTGTGCACCTATGGATGAGGACAATGGGGAGTGGGGAAAGGGCAGAGGGTGGGGTGGAAACCTGGTGGAGGAGAGCAATGGTGGGAGGGGTGGGGGGGGAAGGATCATTTGTAATAATATGAACAATAAAAATTTATTAAAAAAAAAAACAATTGAACAGCGGGGTGCCTCCTTAGTTTACATTCCCCCCACTGCTTACGAAAGTGCGCGTGTTTCCTGTATTTTGGCAATTCATCTGGATGGCACTAAAATCCCACCTATAATCATTTCTAAGGGCAAGAAGGAAAAGATTGAACATGTTTTGGGTGTTTTTATTCTTGAAACTGAAAAAGCCTGGGCCACACAAGCAGTTATAAGGAAGTGAGTCGATTTAATGCTGCCGCTTGTTATGTGAGGGAGCCAAAGAGGTCTGCTTGTCTGGGATGCAGCCAGTACTCACCACGCTAAAGACATGAAGACATTTCTTCACGAAAGAAAAATAGATCAGATAATGATTCCCGCAGGAATGACGGCCTATCTCCAGACTTTTGATATTGCAATAAACAAGCCATTCAAAGACAATTTGCGCATGGAAATTAATGACTGCACTGAAAATAGAATGGAGAGAAATCAGCGTGGAAACTTTCTGAAACCTAAATTGCAAGAAGTTGTGACTTGGGTGAAGAATTCATGGGAGAAAATCACTGACAGTTGCATTGCAAATGCACTGCGAGCAGGCTACAAGAAGTACTCATTTAAAGACAGTGCTATTGCTAAACATGAGAGATTTGGTCCACTGATTCTGAAAGAAATGGAGTCACAAGAAATTCATCAGGAAATTCAGGACTTGGATTGTTATGATGATGTTCCAGAAGATGATGACATGATTGTCACTGAATAAATGAGTAAATTCTTGATACTATAGGATTCACAGTTTGTCTGGTTTGTGTTAACAACTACCGTACTACCGTACAGTATACAGGTAATAATTTTCCTTTATTTTCATTTAACAATAAATGTGTACCATATTCTTCTTCGTGGAAAAATAAGACATCCCCTGAAAATAAGACCTAGTGCATCTTTGGTAGCAAAAATTAATATAAGACACTGTCTTATATTCAGGGAAACAGGGTAGATGAATCAAAAGATAAATGTCCTTACAGCTGCACACTAGGCTCTAATAAAGATGTGAAATATATCAGAAGTAAAATCTCCAGCCATATTACAATACCATTAAACATCTATCAAGATGGCTAAAATTTAAAAGTTTAACAATACTAAGTATTGATGAGGATGCAAAAACAAACTGGAACACAGAATCAATGCTGGTGAGAATATAAATTAAAGCAACCACTTTGGAAAACTGTTTGACAAGATCTATCAAAGCAGAACATATACCTACCTATGATCAAGCAATTCCAATCTTTGGTATATATCTAAACAAAATTAAACATACACACACATATGTGTATGCATTTAAGGTGAGATATATAGCACCAAAAGACACATAGCAGTATTTTCATAATAATTAACAAAAACTTAAATGACCATTAATGTAAGAATGGATAGACTGTTGTACAGGAATGAGAATGAACAAACTACAGCTACACACAACATGGATGATCTCACAATAACATAATGTTATATGAAAGATGCCACTCAAAAGAGTACATACAGTATGACTCCATTTATATAAAGTTCAAAAACAGACTAAGCTAATCAGTGGTGTTAAAAGAGAATATGGGAAGGGACATCTCATACACTAGAATTTCTATTTCTTGATCTGAGTAGTAATAACATGGGTGCATCTACTTTGAACAAATTCACTAAGCTGTACTTACAATCATACCTGAGAGTGCTGACCAAAAAAGGGCAATTTAGAATATTATTTATAACGAAGTGTGAACTACCGTGTTTCCCCGAAAATAAGACATCCTTTGAAAATAAGACATCCTCCGAAAATAAGACTTAGCGCATGGAAAGATAAGACATCCCCTGAAAATAAGACCTAGCGCAACTTTGGGAGAAAAAATTAATATAAGACACTGTCTTATTTTCGGGGAAACAGGGTAGGTCTACAGTCCTCTTCCTCTGAAGGGGACTTGATGAAACAAAAGCCCTTCAAATGACAGTGAGCAATAAAGCAGGAGGAGGCTGGAACCAATGTTAGTGTGAAAAGAAAGGAATCTGAGTTTATGTGATGGCAGAGCAGAGTGGGTAAAGAAGGCTGAGAAAGAAGACAAGAGGATCATTTTTAAATAAGTGTAGGAACATAATGTAAAAGAGAGAATAATTCATGATGTGTTGTATCATAAAAGTAGATCTAGAGTCAACAGGTAGAAGTTACAGTAATATATTTAGGGTAGTGTAAGAAATAAACTTTCCAAAAAACTGTCAAGCAGAGCCCATCAATTGCTTGTCACAGGAAGTACACTGAACTATAAGAACCCTTGGATTCTAATTCCATCTCAACTATTTGCTAGCTATGTCATCTGGGGAAATTTATTTATAACATCTCCAAAGCTCAGCTTCCTTATCTACTTACCTCAAGAGATCAATGAGAGGAATAAGGTAATATGCACAAGATGACAAACTAAAATACAACACAACCGTGAATTGCTAAGAGGAGATACTGCATTATATCATTGCTAAGATCCTCCTAGCACCATAGCTATTAATTGTACCGTGAGACAAGAAAAAAACTTAAAATAGGTCCTAAATTTACAAACTTAAGATTTGGTAGGCAAAAGAGAGAAATGTTAATATGACAGGAAAAGAAGGGAGCAGAAAATCTTTGTCTTAGGAAGTGTTATGTGTTTCTCTGATAACAAAACAGTCACCAGATCTAAAAGGAATATTCAATCCAATAGATAAATAGGAATTCAAATCAAGAAGATACACATACCAAATAAATAAATAAAGGCTACAAATGTATTTGTAAATATGCACATCTCTGAAAGCATGAATATCACTGAAATCTGAGTGTTACATACAATACTTAACTAATGCTTTTGCTGATTCTCTGGGTATAAACTCAGGCTCTAACGTCCCAGTGATTCGATCCTGAGCAAGTTACCCAATCCTCTCAGCCCATTTGTAAAGGGTAAAAGTAGGGCACACAAATTCACAAGATGTTGAAAAAGACTCCATAAGACAATGTATATAAAGTCTCTGGCAAGGCTTCTAGTAGCCAGAGAAAATCATGTTAATAGCCTCTAATTAGCTTTGATTTTGGATTAAGTTTGTGCTGTATTGTTTTCAGAATTAGAAACTTGGGGAACAAATACAAGATATATTTTGTTGTCAAATGTTGAAATTAGGTATAAGTTAAAATGATATGTAGATCCATTGACACTAAGATGGAAAATTAACCAATGTACTGATAGTGGAAAAAGCAAGTTATGACAATATACTTAGTATGATGCCATTTTAAAAACATATATTTTAAAAACTATTATTCCCCCAAAATAATTAACAGTAGAATTAGGTGACTTTTACTTTTTTCAGTCCTCTTCTGTCCTGTCTAAATTTTGTATAAAGAGGATGTATGCCTATTACAATTTCCAATTGGAAGAAAATCTTACTGAATTTTTTTCTTTAGGAAAATTATCATTTAGGTCAAACTGGTGAGAAAAATATACTTATACAAACTTAGAAAAATGAATTTAACATATTTTAAAAGGTAAAGAGAAAAAAACTCAGGAACCACAAGTAAATTTTTGTGTGTACTTTTCTATAAAAAAAATGTGGAGTGACTCAATGATTGAGCATTGAGTCACTCCACCAGGACGTCTCAGTTTGATTCCCAGTCAAGGCACAGTAGGGGGCATGCAGGAGGCAGCTGATCAATGATTCTCTCTCATTGTTTCTATCCCTCCCTTTCTTCTTCCTTCTCCGAAATCAATAAAAGTATTTTTTTCTTAAAAAAGTGGTGTAGACAAAGAAAAGTATCTCCCAAATTAAGGAACATTTGTTCTGTTTTACTCACTGCTATAAACAGAGAATAGGAACTTAATAAATATTTGTTGAACAAATAGGCAAAAGTTTGATATATCTTTACACTAAATTTCATTGCCTTATTTCACTACAATATTGGCTTATTAATCTTTATCTCCAACAGTTAGCTTATAAGCTAACAAAGAGAATTTATCAATTAAGTTATTTATCAAATAAACAAAAAAGCAAAAAAGATAAATAAGTCTAATCAATATTACATCTGAAGTTAAAACATCAGTAAGAAATTGATAACCATCACTCTGAAACATCACATTCATCCTACACCAGTGATTGGCAAACTCATTAGTCAACAGAGCCAAATATCAACAGTACAACAATTGAAATTTCTTTTTGAGAGCTGAAAACTGACTTCTGCACATGGGCCATGAAGTTCAATTGTACTGTACATGCCCGCCCATCCGCACATGGTATTTTGTGGAAGAGCCACAATCAAGGAGCCAAAGCCACATGTGTCTCGAGAGCAGCAGTTTGCCGACCACTGTCCTACACCATAATCTCTATTACATATAGGATAAGGTAGTGACATCACAAGAAATGTTTACCATTTCTACATTTCATTATGTCTAGTAAGTGAACACTAGCATAATTAATTGTAAACCAGGATTGTGTATGGATTAAAATGATAAGAGTACCAAAACTGTATAAATGAAGTTTTTTATACCATCAAGACCTACTCAGCCTAAATCAACAAATCAGCCAAACCAACCAACCAACCAACCACCAACCAACCAACTAACCAAAAAAACAAGTCAGACCTACCTTGGCCCTTTTGGACCTTCCATGTAACTGCTTCTAGGAGGATCTGGAAGCAGTCCACCTGACCTCATTGGCATGTCCTTGATTTGCAGAGATGGAGCAATTGAAGACTCCCCAAGTCCTGGCTCAGATGAGAACGAACTGTATGGCAGAGTAGACTTGCTCAGAGGAGCTTTAGAATTCCCTTGTTCTGCAGGGCCAACAGCTGATTGCAATGGAGGATGGTAAGCTGAACCAAAAGACACAGGAGTGGGAAGTAACGCTGGTCTAGGTTTCTCTGGAAGTTGTGAACTCTGAGAACTAGAGACTGATGGAACTGGGGCTGTTGTTAATTGAGGAGGTATCCCTTGTGGAACCCCAGGGGCAGGTATTCCTGGAGGAGGTGTGGCTGAAGATAATGGTGGAAGAGGCAGGACAGGTGGAGGTGCTGTTGAAGAGAGAGATGGTGGGGGAAGAACTGGTGGTGGCCCCACAGAAGAGAGGGGAGGTGGAGGAAGAACTGGTGGTGGCCCTGTTGAAGACAAAGAAGGAGGCATCACAGGTGGGGGCAGAGAGGTTGGTAGAGAAGGTGGCATCACAGGTGGGGGCATGCCAGGTGGTGGCACTGAAGTAGGTAGAGCAGGGGGCATCACTGGTGGTGGCAATGATGGAGGCAGTACAGGAGGAGGCATTGTTGGTGGAGGTGGAGGCATCTGAGAATATGGAACATAAGGAGGTGGCATTGACATGTTTCCCATATACTGGTTCTTCATATTCTGAAATGAATTGACTTTCTCTTGGAGATAGGTCTGAGTGGCTTTCATATGTCCCTGCCATGTTTTCCACTGCTTCTCATACTCCTGAAGTTGATCTTTATGCGGATAGGAATGAAGCTGTTCCTCCCACAGCTGAAACTCTCGCTCCCATTCTTGGTAGAGATGTTGAAACTGTTGCTGCTGCATCTCAGAATGTCGCAGTTGCATATCTATAGACATGGTCTACAAATAAAGGGATAAAAATTATTTCAAGACATTCATAGAATTAATAACAAGATAAATATTAATGCATCAAGGGCATATAAAGTCTTAGGACATTAAAACACTAAAGATTTTGGGAGGATAAGGATAAGCTTGGTAAATCCATTTGGTGATCATTCTTCTTTCTTCCTTTGATTCAATTATATAGGGTAGAGCTAAAGTAGGCTTAAAGTTGTTCATATGGAAAATAATAAAATAATCCTATATAATAAATAGGTAATATGCAAATTAACCCTCACACCCTCACAAGATAGCTGCCTACAACCAGGCCGGCAGGGAGGTTAGTGAGGGATGACCAAATGACTGAACAGCAGACTGCGCGGGGAAACCAGGCTGGCGGGGACGCCGTGAGGGGAGACTGGGGTGGGGGGATGGGGCAGTTGGGGGCAACCAGGCTGGCAGAAGTGGCAGTAAGAGGTGACCAAGTTACCAAGGGGGAAGGGGGAAAAGGAGGCAGTTAGGAGTGACCAGCAGGCCAGGAGGGGACAGTTGGGGGTGACCTGGCCAGCAGCGGGGGCAATTAGGGGACAACCAGACTGGTGAGGGGGGAAGGGGGCAGTGAGGGGCAATTAGACAGTCAGAGGGGGAGGCAGGGTGGCCAGGCAGGCAGGCAGGCAGGTGAGCGATTAGGAGCCAGCAGTTCAGGATTGTGAGAGGAGTGTCTGAGGGGTCCTGGATTAGAGAGGGTGCAGGCTGGGCTGATGGGACCACCCCCATGCACGAATTTCATGCACCGGGCCTCTAGTTAAGTAATAATACAAGAATAAATTGTTTTGTGTATTCTCAACTGTAAACCTACTTTTGCCTTATCCTGGATAAGTTACCAGTGAGTTGAAAAAATCAAGCAAATACTAAAAGCAAATAAATAGCTACCTCAACAATAAGTATTTTCCAAGTTTTTAATATTATTATGGACTGAGGCCCAGTGCACAAAATTCGTGCATGGGGTGGGTGGGGTGGGGGGGTATTCCTCAGCCCAGCCTGTGCCCTCTTGCAGTCCAGGACCCCGCAGGGAGTGGGCCTAAGCCAGCAGTCAGATATCCCTCTTGCAGTCCAGGACCCTTCCCTCCTTACTGCCTGCCTGCTCACTGCTCTTTACTGCTCAGCTCTCTGCTCCTTAGTGCTGCCGCGGAGGTGGGAGAGGCTCCTGCCACCGCTGCACTTGCCAGCCGTGAGCCCAGCCCTGGCTGAGCAGTGCTCCTCCTGTGGGAGTGCACTGACCACCAGAGGGAAGCTCCTGCATTGAGCATCTGCCCCCTGGTGATCAGTGTGTCATAGAGACTGGTCATTCCATGGTTCAATTTGCATATTAGGCTTTTATAAGAAGTTAAAAAACAATCTATTATTATAGACATACAGACATAAGTTTACACTGCAACAATAAAAGACAAGCAAATATCTAAGTCATTTCATCTTTTATGGTATATTCATTAGGTTTTTTTCTGGTGGTTGTTTTGACCTTTTTTGGCAGATTTTTGCTTGTCTGTTACTGTAGTGGTTTGTAGGCAAAACACAAATAAACTTATAATTAAATGATAAGAACCCTGGTTCTTAAATCTCTTAGTAATAATCAGTACTTAGTAACTTAGTAAGAGTACTCTAACATCTGTCTGGGTTGATATGAGAGCAATTGCATAATACCACATTTCCCAAGCCCCCAAGTTAATATGACAGATAACTACGTGGGCACGACTTGGGAAATATCTTTCCTTCTTCACATTTCAATCTCCTTCAGGAATAACTAATATTTTAAGTTTCTTGGGTCAATTTGCCATGTGTGAATTGAAGAAGCACTTGCCTGCAAATGTGGTGGCTGCTGGATGATCTGCTGGTACTGTTGTAGGATCTGTTGTAGCTGAGTGTGCTTCTGCATTATTCCCTGGTACTGGAAGCCAACTCGATGCTGCTGGTGCTGCTGCCAGTGTGCTGCTGCAGCCTGCAACTGTTTTAACCTGGCATCTTCTTCTGGGTCCTCAGACTAAATATAAAAGAAGATACATTTTTAAATCATAAAACAGCAATTAAATTAGTAAGAAACCTATTTTATAAATTATTGTATTGTAATACAAGTCCAGAATCCTTACAACTCTGCCTGATTAATAAAAGCTATTCTATCTTTAGATAAATACCTAGCTCTATCTTTACTCTGATAATGGATACCAATACCTAGGAGTTTATAAACTCCAGTCTTTTAGTAGAATAATCATTTCACTATTCTTAAATAGGACAATCATTACCCAACAAAGTCAATCTACATTTAATGTCCTTTTCACTCTGAGAAATCTTTCTCTTGCACCTTAGTTACCTTTCATCAATGGGTTACAGTGTATTTATTATGATTCAATAAAATTTCCACATATGACTATTAGGAGAACAATGACCTTTGGACCAAGGTGAGAACTTTCCATGTGTCAGTAAGTATCCTAAATTACATTTAATGCTACAATCTATTTTGCAGATGAGGATACTGAAGTACAGAATGGTTAACTAACTTGCTCAGAGTCACCACCAGCAAATGGCAGTGCCTGGACAGCAGCCTAGGTCATTTGACAATAAGAAGTTATTTTTAAAAATTATATATTTTTATTGATTTCAGAGAGGAAGGGAGAGGGAGAGATAGAAACATCAATGATGGCCAAGACCGGTTTGGCTCAATGGATAGAGCGTCGGCTTGGGGACTGAAGGGTCCCAGGTTCGATTCCGGTCAAGGGCATGTACCTTGGTTGCGGGCACATCCCCGGTGGGGGGTGTGCAAGAGGCAGCTGATCGATGACTCTCTCATCGATGTTTCTAACTCTCTATCTCTCTCCCTTCCTCTCTGTACAAAATCAATAAAATAAAATAAAAAATAAAAAAAGAATTAAAAAAAATAAAAAGAAACATCAATGATGAGAGAGAATCATTGACTGGCTGCCTCTTGCATGTGCTTGCATGCACACACACCAAGGGGGATTGCATCTGCAACCCAGGCATGTGCCCTTGACCAGAATTGAACCTGAGACCTGTCAGTCCACAGGCTGATGCTTTATTCACTGAACCAAACTGGCTAGGGCAAAAAGTTGAAGCTCTTAAATATTGCTGTGTGCTGCCAATGTGAAATACCTGGCAGTCCTTTCGTGCTTAGAGACACAATTTACAAGAGTGTCTAACTCTTCACTCTCATTTAAACCATGGGGGGGGGGGGGGGGAGCCTTTTCTTTTTTTTTTTTCCAAATTGTAAGAGAAAGTTTATTTAGAAAGTTACAGAGGTAGTGGAAGTGAGCCAGCTGGGCTGCAAGGGCTTTGGAAACAAGTTATAGAAGCAAAAGGGCCATTGGAACTTAGGAGAAGAAAAGACAAAGGTAATATACCAGGGGAAAGAGAGAGAAGAGAATGGTGCTGACATTCTCCGGACAGGGAATGCCAAAAAATGCCTTTTCCAAACCTGATAAGGCATAATCTAATATTCCATAAATGGAATTTTACATGTACTTAAAAAAAACACACATAAAAACATATATCTATTCATGATAAAAATATATATATATGAATCAGAAAAAAGTTGAACAATTTAATAAAAACCAAATAATTAACTTTATGGTTACCTGGGATTCCTCAGGAGGGAGAGGGGGTGGTACCTCCTCATTAGGAGGTGGTAATGGGGGCTCCTCAGATGGAGGGGTTTCTGGTACTTGACTGGTGGCAGGTACTGTAACTTCTTTTACTGGCTTGGGTGCATCCTTTGCTATGACAGGACCCTTTTTGTGTCCTGGCAAATGCACTTTTGTCCTCTGCTGCAAACTAAGCAAGTGCTGTCGATACCAATACTGCTGCTGTTCCTACAACAGAAACCATTTTTAAGAATTTTACTTGACAATCCTGTATAGCTGCAACTTGGTGTTTAGAGAGCTCCACATTTGTGTCTGCATTCATGTATCTCTATGCAAGAAAAGGCAAAGCTAGACTGAGAAAGACAAATAAGCAAGATTTTCAATTCCTTCCCCAAATTTATACATTTAAGTTAAACCATGCCATACATATCAATTGAACATACTTCTCTACTCTTAAAACATATACTTTTGGAAGTGAGAGCAGTCTTTTTGATAAATGATCAAGTAAACCTGTCAGTATTCACACTATCTGCTTTTAACCTGTCTTTAGTTGATTCAAACTTACCCAGGGGGATTTTGTAAATAATGAACACAAACAAATAATCCTACCTCTTCTCACTGCCTTCTCTTTTAATCATCTGTTGTATATTCTTTTAAATATTTGTAGTATAGTCCTAGGTATATGCAGAAGTTCTCTTATTCAAGGGAGATACATTCCAAAACCTCCAGCGGCGGCCTAAACAGTGGATAGTACTAAACTCTATATATCCTACTTTATTCCCCCTAATCATGCATACCTATGATAGTTCAGTTTATAAATTAGGCACAATAAGAGATTAACAACAATAACAATACAACAGAACAATTATAATAATGTAATGTAACAAAAGTTACACAAATATGGTTCTCTCTCTCTCTCCCAAAACATCTTACGGTACTATACTCACACTTCTTGTGATGATGATACAATGCCCACGTGATGAGATGAAGTGAGGTGAATGAGACATTATTAAGTAAAATAAGGGTTACTTGAACACATGCACTGTAATATTGGGGATCTGATAACTGAAACAGGTGAGTGACTAATGGCATGGATAGTGTATACTTCATGGATGTGCCAGACAAAGGAATGATGGGATGGATCAGGACAGTATGGGGCAGTGATATTTCATAAGCAAAGCAGAATGGTGCACAATTTAAAACTTACAAATTGTATATTTCTGAGATTTCCCATTTAATATTTTTGGACAGTGGTTGATCACAGATAACTGAAACTGCAGAAAGGGAATGCACAGATAAAGGGAAACTACTGTGTGCATAAATTAGAACAGAATGTGTTTTTTAAATGCTTTCTATTTATTTTAAAAGTCTCACTCTGCCTTCCAAATTATAATGTAATTTCATTTTCTAGAAGCCTGTTTTGTGCTTTCACTTTAAAAGATCACAAGTTTAACGTGGAAAAAAATTAAGAAAACACAGCTGATACTCATTATTCATTGATTCTGTAGTTGTGAATCTGCCTATAAAATAGATAGATAGATAGATTGATTGATTTCAGAGGGGAAGGGAGAGGAAGAAATAGAAACATCAATGATGGCAGAGAATCATTGATTGGCTGTCTTCTGCATGCCCCAAAATAGGGATCAAACCTACAACATAGGCATGTGCCCTGACCAGGAATCCAATTGTGACCTCCTAATTCATAGGTCAATGCTTAACAACTCAACCACACCGGCTGGCTCTGGGCTTTTTTTTATTAGTGATTTTGTTGTTTAAAGTGGTCACCAAGCACAGTGCTGAAGTGCTGACTAGTGTTCCTAAGTGCCAGAAGGCTATGACATGCACTATAGAGAAAATATGTTATATAGGAGAAACCAAGATGGTAGCAAAGGTAAACACCTAAACTGCTGCCTTGCACAACTATTTCAAAACTACAACTAAAAGACAAAACATCTATCACCCAGAATCATGGGAAAGCTGGCGGAGTGGAAGTTCTACAACTAGAAGGAAAGAGAAAAGAGCACAAGCCCTGGAAAGAGGAGGTACGAAGACACGAATTGGACTGATGGCGGGCGATGCTTTTTTTCAACCCGAAGGGAGACAAGCTCCCAATTACTCTGAAATCCAGTTTCTGGGGACACGCAGGAGACCCAAACTCCTACGAGGAGAAGCTGGACTGTCGGCCATCAGGTCGGAAAGTGAGGGTAACTTTCTTGCAGAGGTGCGCCCAGCAATCATTGTTTACTGCACTGGGGCACTGGGCATGAGGACTTGGAATCGTGGAAAGGCAGAGAAGGCTGACTGGCAGCCATTGCTGTTTGTCACGCCCTAGCCTAGTGATGCCCTGAGACCCCACTCTGCACAATATACAAACATACCCAAGCTCCACACTGCAGCTTTTGCATATAAATGGCCTACCCTGTCGCAGCTTAAACAAATAAACTGCAGCTCCAAAACCTCCAAACCCCAAGCAAAGAGGAGAAAACTAGTTCTTTCTGTAGCTCCTGTTGGGTGCCCTCAGACAGTAGCTAACTTGCACTGGAGAGCCAGAAGCTAGTGTATCTAGTGGTCTGTGTGAGATAACACCAGATTTCAACTACTCTCATAAAGGACACGTTCAAGAGGCAGACTCAGTAAGCACCAAAGCCCCACAGGAACAAGTCCTGCCCCATAAGCGTGTCTCCAGCACAATAATTCTTCCGTTATAGACACAGCGAGTCCTCACAGCCAATTGGCCTGGAGGTCAATTCCTCCCAGTGATACCAACAACAATCTTGACTACAACAAGGCTGTACACACAGTCCACAAAGGGGTGCACCAAGAGTGTCCACCTCAGGTAACTGGGAGGCTGATCCATTGAACCATATAGGACACCTTAACACACAAAGCCACACTATCAACTAGGGAAGCAGCGAAAATCCCGAAACAAGGAAACAGATCACAAACCAAAGAAATGGAGAACAAAAGACTGTATATAGAGTTCAAAATCACGGTTATAAGGTTTTTCAAGAATTTCCTAGAAAAGGCCAATAAATTTAACAAGACCCTTGAGGATATGAAAAAGGACCAACTAGAAATTAAACATACACTGACTGAAATAAAAAATATATATATTATACAGAGACCCAACAGCAGACTAGAGGAATGCAAGAATCAAGTCAAAGATCTGAAATACAAAGAAGCAAAGAACAATCAACCAGAAAAGCAAAAAGAAAACAGAATCCAAAAAGTTGAAGATAGTGTTAAGAAGCCCTGGGAAAACTTTAAGCATACCAACATCAGAATTATGGGGTCCCAGAAGAGAGAAAGCAAGATACTGAAAACCTATTTGAAGAAATAATGACAGAAAACTTCCCCCACCTGGTCAAAGAAATAGACTTACAAGTCCAGGAAGCACACAGAACCTAAACAAAAGGAATCCAAAGAGGACCACACCAAGACACATCATAACTAAAATGCCAAGGGCAAAAGACAAAGAGAATCTTAAAAGCAGCAAGAGAAAAACAGTTAGTTACCTACAAGGGAGCACCCATTCGATTATTAGCTGATTTCTCAACAGAAACTATGTAGGCCAGATGGGAGTGGCAAGAAATATTCAAAGTGATGAATAGCAAGAATCGACAACCAAGATTACTCTACCCAGCAAAGCTATCATTCAGAATTGAAGGTCAGATAAAGAGCTTCACAGATAAGAAAAAGCTAAAGGAGTTCATCACCATCAAACCAGTATTATATGAAATGCTGAAAGGTATTCTTTAAAAAAAGGAGGAAGAAGAAAAAAATAAAGATAAAAATTATGAACAACAAATAAATATCTATCAACAAGTGAATCTAAAAATCAAGGGAATAAAAATCTGATGAACAGAATAAACTGGTGAATATAATAAAATAAGGGGTATAGAAAGGGAGTGGACTGACAATTCTCAGGAGGAAAGGGATTTGGGGGGTGCGGGAAGAGACTTGACAAAAATCGTACACCTATGCATGAGGACAGTGGTGGGGAGGTAAGGGCTGAGGATAGAGTGGAACCGGTTGGAGGGGAACTATGAGGGGGGAAAAGGAGAAACAATTATAATAATCTGAACAATAAAGATTTATTAAAATTATAAAAAAGAAAATATGTTATATAAAGCTTCATTCATGCATATGTAATGTTGCTAGCTGTGAAATCAATTTTAATGAATCAACAATATATATTAAATAAGGGTCTTTAAACAGAAACACACATAAATCAAGATTACGCCTTGATTAGCTGATGAAAATGTGACCAAAGGCTCACAGGAACATAACCCTGCATTTACCTTAGGAGCAATGGTTCAGTAGTTACTAATTCAGTGTTCTTGGTTACTTTATAGTTCCTGGTGACTGTATAGAACAAAATATTCAAACAAAGATAAATGACTGCATAAAAAAAGCAATAACTAATTGTTTAAATCAGCAAAAAAAATCTTACCACTCAAATAACTACAGGATCTTCATTATCCCAGGAGTCACTATATAATCTCCATGGTTATAAAGTTGAATAAGGAAAAAAAGTTGTCATATCACTAAAATATTCACTAATATACTGCCCTGTATATGTCTATAATTAACAACAGCATATATTTCTACTATAATTATAAGGATGCAGAATTTGTGTGTTTGGTGTTTTATTTTAGGATGCAGGATTTGATAAAATGTGATGTTGGAAAACTTTGAAACACATTACTGAGAGCTGAGGATTTAACAAAAGTCCTACTGTTAATAAAGACGGAATATACTAATTGACCATCACACCCTCACAAAGATGGCAGCTTCTACAGCCAATAAGGGAATATGCTAACTAACTGTCACACCCTCAAAGATGGTGGCACCCACAGCCACAAGATGGCAGCGCCCAGTCCCCTTAACCCTGCCGGGGCAGCAGGCGTGAAGCCCAGCTGGGCCCGCCAAGTAGGTCCAGTCTAGCTCTGTGAGCCCTCCTCTAGAGTACCCCAGTCCTCTCAGCCCCCAGCCCCCCAAGGCCAGCCCGAGTCACAGGCAAGCCTCAGATGTTGGCTGCCCAGCCAATGCCCAAGGTGCAGGCAAGCCTCAGATGGTAGCTGCCCAGCCGCCCAGGGTCGCCCGAGGCTCAGGTAAGCAGGGTTAGCTGAGGCTTGCACTGCCAGTAGTGGCAGCAGCAAAGGTGTGATGGGGGCCTCACCTTCCCGATCACAGGGTCACCTTCCGCCCCTGAGGGCTTCTGGACT